GTACTTCTGATGCTATATCACACTTATTTATTACCTTATCAAATTCAAGTTTCATTTCTGGTACGCACAATAGAGACAGTAAGAACCTTTTCACCAAAACCGACACTTAGGACGTTCTTATAGCAAGCGGTATATAGTCGCATTTAAACAAAGTAAGTCAAGCTTGTCATGCTTGTTGACTCTATAGATACCAGAATTGGACAGCAGAGACTTTGCGAATTAGTTGAACACAAATTTAAATATAGCGGTCACCGACCAATCAGTATTATTACTAAGAATGATTATAGTAGGGTAATGTGGTGCAAGAAATGAATGACACTTCAGACGACGTGTCATTCCTTTCTTATGCGTCTGGCGCACCCTGGGCAACAATCGACGAGTACCTTACGCCGATTGGCAAAACTTTTCACCACGATAGCAAGAAATAGGTAGGTAAATAGGTAGGTAAGTGCCATCAATACGATAAAAATGTGGATCAAATCGGTACCAAAAGAACTATAATCACATCAGTAAGTTGCACTAACAATATGCTCGTGCTGCTGGTGCCAAAAAACTCCAAAGTGAAGACAGTGCAGTGACAAACCTAGCGTATGCCATCCACCCGTCAGCAGTTGGACTGCTGCGATGACCTGAAAAGGTTGGTCAGGAGCAGCTAGATGAAATAGATGGGACGGAATATTATTGCTCGCAATATCAAACAGTGGAGTAAGATACACTGAAAAAAGTGATTTATATAAACAATTTGTTCTATAAGGTGATCATGTAGGTAACTTAGTTCCATCTCAGCCCATCCAGCACGATTGCAGTAACATGTTTATGTAAATTACTATCTTATTAAAAATTCGCCACACAAGGTAAAAAACAAAATGGTTGATTTAAATCCCGTTTTTTTCAGTCTATGATGATAAATCAACAACCGATGATTACATCACTAATTGTTTATCAGTAGTGCTCACTTTTAATCCCAAGTAACAACAAGACCAAGAAGTAAGTAGTTACTAGGTCAGTTTTTCGAGTTCAGGCAAACGAAATGCTCTACACCACTCTTTCTTTAGATAAATCTTAAATGTTACTTTTAACAAGGCATAGATGCAGTCCCAGATAAGTTCAATCATTAGAGAGTCAATTAAACGGGGGTTTGAATCACAGGTAATGACGTTCATTCATCTTGCGCACGATTCGGCTTAATTAAAATTAACTGCTAATTACGAGTGTAATGTAGAGAGCCACTAACCGGCGGACTGAGTGAAAAATTGTTGTATTGTTAATTTAGTTTATTACGTTGGACAGGAGGTAGTCACTTGTTTCTTTAATTACAATAGGTGTTGAGAAGTTCTTTTTCGTAAAATTTGAAGAAATACCCCCTTTACAGAGAACTGAGGCATACGCATAATTTCTAAGAATTTGTGCTTTGAGTTACATAGAAATCATACCCAAAAAAACGTACCAAAGTAATCAATGTTGGATTCTTCTAATAGTGAACTGTAGTAGGTCTAGTATATAAGTACAATTTTACTGACACTTAATATTATTCTGTAATGACAAAATTAGTACACACTAGACGTTTCTAATAAAACCAGTTAGCAGAGAGAGGAAAAAAATAGATTATAAAAAAATACCTTTATTTAGCCATAAATAATCAATACAGCTCACAAAATCAGTAAGTTGAAGTGACAATGAGTCAGTCATGTTTCTGTAGACAGCCAATGGACGATGGACAGACTAGTTCTGGAGTGGCGACCACGTCATAGTAAACGTACCTACTTACATTAAGTTTAATAAATAAGTTATGGTGGTATAATTTATTTTAAATCAGGTTATATAGATTTTGAAAAATGCAAGCGGTACAAAGACCGGGACAATTAGAGGCAACCTGAGTTATATGCTGTATCGTATACATTTTGTCGCAAAATCAAACATATTATCTAAGAGTCGTTAATATTCTTATCGCTCACATCATAAAATTTACTGCAATATATATTGTAGGTATATAATATATTTTGCATTACCTGTTTTACCGCTTGACACTTGACAGGTGCTTCAGCAATCGCTGTATTACTTACTAACTACTAAGTTACAATGTGTGGTTTGGTAATGTTGACTTCAGGTTATCTATCTGTCCCCTGACTTTCAAGCTAGACTACACTGTGTTACAAAAGTCAGTGGTTCGGTTATTTAACAACTTTACAAGCAAAGTTACATATGATGCAGTAGAAATATATTATAGAAAAAAACTTAAGGATAATAATTATAGCACAATTAATGTGATAGGACGATGGAGTTACTTTGTAGTTTTGAGAATCTCTTCCACTTTCTAAAACACCTACAGGAATCACAGGGCAAATAGGCGCTTATTGCAATTCAAATTTCGATTATATCAGAAGAGACATACTTTCTGGGAAAGGCAAAGATAGTTTAGGTTTTTACTTTTAAAATTACATTTCACAGGAGGTAAGAAAGTTTTTATAACCTACAACGGCCGAGTGTGGTACAACAACACTTTTCTGAGAAAATATCGGATCGGCAGGAAAGGCAATTTTATAAATTTCATGCCGCTATACATGTAAGTTTACTGGTGGCAAGGACTGCCTGTGTAGAACCCAGCTGAGTAGGTTGTATAACATCATCTTTTCCACCCAAAAAAAGCCCTACTGTGTTCTAGATTTTACGGTCGTGATAGCCAACACAGGAACAGAGGACTTATTTGTCCTACGGCCGGCTACTCAATAAGATTGTTAATACTTCCTTTACATCACAATTGTCATTTGGTTATTACTAAAATAAATAACACACACACTTATAGCCCCGCACTAGGGAAGCCCTGTATCGTCGGTGCTATGGACACACACGTGAAAAACCACAAATTATATACATATGTATATACTTATCAAGTGTACTGCCCCTGATTTTGACAATTCGTATACTATGAAAAAAATTACAGTTAGGTCACTGTTCAATAGGAAAAGTCTCAAAATAAATCAGGATTTCCATTGAAAGATAAGAAAGGCACTCTAATATGAGATTCTCTAATGCTCATGTTATACATTTTGTTTAAACCGACAAATATGACAAATAATAAACGAATAATAAATGAACAATAATTTCGATCTTAACAATAACAATAAGTTTATTTTAGTTTTAGCTATATAGGTACGTAATTTCAGAAACAATAGATATTTTATTTCCCGAATTTTTAACCTGTAATGCGTACCTGTATCATCGCCTCCTTTTTCCGACTCGTATAAAAATTAGGCTCGATTGTTAGTTTGAAACAGTTATCTGTTCATTTTTCAGTACTAGATAAATTTGCGCTTAAATAACAGTTTAGGTTTTGATAAGAATCTAATTGACGGTATTGCTTGGGTTTTCTATTGTTTAAGGCTTTTGAATAAATACTAATCTATACTTCCAATGAAAACTATGGCAACTTCACTGAATTGTAAAAAAAGAAACAAAATTGGAAAAAAAACTGGTCAAAAAATTAAGTTTTCGTAATTTTCATGAATGTATCGAAACATTCTAAGCAGATTGTATTCTTTAGAACTTTGCCAAATCGTTGATTTTTTTTTTAAATTAAATTTCAAGGACATGTTTAGTTTCACCATTGCTACATAATATGTAAAACATACCTACATATAGGTACGAAAAATTACTAAGTATACTAAATGTTTATCGCATACTTACTGATTTTTATATATGGTGGCAATGGAGCTCCTTATGAAAGATTTTGTCCAGGGAAGTGCTACCACCTTATCTATTTCTGCCAAGCAGTAATCTCTCACATCAAAGCTCACATTACTGCGTTACAGTTTTGAAGGTTAAAGAAAGGTGCTGGTTAAATAACAGGCACACCGGCCTTGTTAACTTACTTATGTCGCATAGTGAAGGACGCAGTGGCACTGCCCTTTAGCTCTTTGCGATTGAAACCACTGCTACTGTTATGGATAGGCGTGTCGCTTATTACCAGGCGCACGACTTGTTCGTCCCGTTGGTATTATAAAAAAAAGGTAAAAATAAATATAGGTATCTATGACAAAAACTTTGTATGTATTCTACTCATTTCTTGTGACTTCGAAATTTTAAAACAAACGCATTTTTTATCATTCAGAATATTCCAAAAATGAAACTTTGACAGAAGTTTTAAAACATGTAGCAGTGTTAGAACTATGTCAAATAACGTCTCTGTCCAGTTTACGCCGTGAGACTCCAGTAAGCCCTTTTGAAACAAGAACATTGTTCTAAGAAAACAAATTGCGCTACAAATGATATAATATAAAAATTGTTTTACTTATGTAAAAGTTTCATCGTGTAACGTTAAAAGGAACCGTTTGCATATTTGTGCATTTATGAAGGTCTAGTAAATTTTAAGCAATAGTTTGTTTTATTTAACGTTGACTATTTTTTACACATCAGAGTTGTCAGCTTCGCATATTGTTAAATTCTGACGTATGGGCTACGTCCGTTGGTTAAGACTTTTACTAAGTAGTTTGTGTTATAATTATTCATTACGTTTACATTTGTATTTGTAGTAAAAAATAGACTGTATATCTTTTTACCATTTGCTTCAGAACAAAATATGTTTACGTCGCTGAGGTCTTATTTTTCATATCTAATATTTATTTTATCTTAAAAAAAATATTCATAACAAAAGGGAAACGACGGAAAACAAATAAACCAAACGACCTCAAAAATAACAAAAACAAAGTGGCTCACGTTACATCAATGCCAAAACTAAAAGTTCCACAACATTACAATCATTAACATCCATAATCATCAATCGGTCCATTGAAATCGGATACGTACGTGGTGTTCCGTGTACCCTAATTACGATAATCGCACAGGCGATGGCGGGAGAATAAGCGGGTGTATAAGCAGAGCGGGAGCGGGCGCGCACACGTGGCGGGCTCAGGTGCGCCCCGCCCCCCGCGCCCCGCCCGGCACTAGTCGCGCTTGACGCGCCGTCAACTCGACCGTCGACCGCTCACCTCTTCGTCAGACGCGCGCTGCACTCGACGCTCGAAAGCCGGGAAAACACGAGCCGTTTTCCGCCGCGACGATACGCATCGAAGTTTACGGAATTCGAACGCATTTGAATTGCTATTTTGAAGTTTTATTTTTTAAATAAATAACCAGTAATTTTCAAAAAGTTGTTCAGCATTAAAACTTAAAATTCTTTTTTTTTTAATTTTTCAAAGATTGCTATTTTGTGAAAAGTGTTTGGAAAACTTAAGTTGTGGGATGTTTGTGATTTGTCTTCGACTCTTTTGGTTGTGATTTATTTTTAAACGATAAAGTTGGCTGTTATCGCAGTTGGGTCACTCTCAAAAGTCTGGAGTAAGTATTATTATTTTAAGTGCGTATTCGTATTTTCATTGAAAATTATATTCCATTGATACATTTATTCTGCTGGAGATGCGATGTCATAAAATCAAAGCGTATCGCCGTAAATCTCTCTGGCCGGTGTGGATTGTAACTGTCCACTTGACACGGAGCATTAAAAGTTATCCACACAGCTTTAAATATTAACAGGCAATTAAACGAAATTTAATATCACATAAAATGTATATTTATTGAGTTTAAAATTATTTTTAATGATTCGGAAGCTTCTGTATTATCTTCATTCATTTATTGTTCCTTTGATATCACATATCAATAATTTTATTAAAAAAAATATAGGAAGATATCTTTGTAAGATTATCGAATAATTTTATTCAATACCTTCACTTCGATACCAAAATACTTCAAATAAAAATACTTCAATGCCTTCACTTCAATACCAAAATGCATTTTTGGAAAAAGAGAAATTTTGCCTGAAAAAGAGAAATTTTGCCGCTATCTGCGAAGAGTGATTATTTTTTAAAAAAGAAAACAAAAGGGAATATACTTTACGATACAAAAAAAAGCAAATTACTTATATTCACCATGGTAATTAATATGATAATAACTTATGAATAATAATATGCTCTCTGAACCACACAAAAGCCCTTTCTGAAACCGAATGTACCAAAATTAAAACCACTAAAAACACTTCCCCTTTAAATCAAACACGACACAATAAGAGCTATCAAACAGCCGAATTAAAATAAAGAGAGACGTTTAAAACATGCTTCAAAGTCTGGGAAATAAAGAAAAAAAATAAAAATGAAGGGAAAAAGCAAAGAAATGAAATCGTCCGGCCCATTTAATGCCGACCGGACGGACTGACAAAAATTCTAAACTGAAATAGCTGAACACATGTGACTGTATGTCAAAATGTGTTTGGGATGAACAATGAAATATTCAGGATACTGTACCTTTGCTTTAACTATGTTTTATTTGTGTACAAGTAACGAAATTAGAGCAGACGAGTGATTCTTTAAGTTTATAATCTCTTTGGCTGTCTTTCAGAAAAGCTATAACAATGTAAAAGAAATTACATTGGTAGTTTTATGTAATTTTGTTTAAATTACTAAATACAGTGGAGGAAAACACAAATGTTACATATGTAAATTACGTTTTATTTGTGGTTTTGCGCAGATAGAAAACGTTTTTTAAAGTACTTGCTTTAAAAACTTATTTTGAATATTATATGCACATGTTATACAATATTATGTTAAACGTGTTAAAGATGAATATCAATGTCAAGCAGTTCATTAACAAATTATAAATATATACAGTCAATTTTAAATACTAAGTACATTTCCAAAGTAAAGAATTATAGAGTCATATATCAACGTGACTCTATTATTTATAATGTGGACTATGCTTAAGAAAAGTTAAAGTTAATCGTATCTATAACGCAAAAGACTATAATTATAGCACTTATAGATGTAATAAAAACTTTAATAAATATTATTGTATGTGTGACTTTTAATAAAATATTTACCTCCAGCATTATTTTAAAATCATTTGAGTATTTCTAGTAAAATCAGTTTTATCCTTATATTACAAATCGCCCTTATAATAAAAACAAATAATTATAAGCAGTCATGTTTAGGTATGTACAGGAAATTTTTGAACAGGAAACAAAAAAAAACTAATGATAAGATCGACTCATGAATGACTATAAGTGTATAAATATCAAGCATATGCGATTATTCAGATTATCCGAGGCATGCGTAACAAAATTTATGTACATGCACAAAATTTGCAATAAAATTCAAAGTCGCCGCAAAAAATTCACACATACATCATTTTGTGCAAACGCTGCGAATAAATCGAGTACACAATGACTGCTAATTTGCTCATAAAGACGTATGCACTTCGGAGTTCATAAATCGGGAGAAGTCGCATCGGCCTACCGCTTACACCCATAAACCTCTGCGGACACATTTATGGCCTAACCACGTGGCGAAGTCGGGATTTTTTCCGCAATTGACATCTGTAGGAGCTTTAGAAAAACTTCCCGATATTAATTTATTGTTTTAGACCCCCTACACGCAACAAGTGTTTTGTGAGGAATTGTGCAATATTTTACAAAATCAAACTTCTGTGATGGCTTTAAATAACAAATTTAGTTCAAAAATAAACTCGGATGATAAATTCCTACTCTTATTGCTTAGTTTATGTTTGTCTGCGGAGAGATAACTATACAATATATCTTACCATATGGTACGATGAAAAGTGGCAAATGAGGAGTGCGTGTGCTAAATTTACATGTCTATATTTTCACAGCATTTGCATGTTGTACTCAGATAGAAATCTGGCATTAATTACCGCGTATTATGGCTTTATAAAACGTTTTAGTGTTAATTTTACCAAAACGGTAAATGTTATTCACAAAGCGTACATTTTTGATACTCGATCTTGATGTGTGCGTTTTAAAGTAACCTCTTTAGCGCTCGTACATTATCTTCACTAACATTCATCACCAATAACGAGGCAACACACTTGACCAACTAATGTGTCTCATTTTATCACAGGTCCATCAATCAACCTCCACTCCATGAGCACAATTGAAGCGGACGACGTCGGTAGCACTTAACATGTCCGACTAAAACTATTCAGTGCTCATCCGAACGATGACAAGACTCGAGTAAATTTTGGGATATAGGAAACTACCACTGTTATCGATGAACGACCTAAACTACAACGCAGGAATGAGTTCCTATCAGTTTGTTAACTCGCTTGCCTCTTGTTATGGCAACCAAGCTCCCGGGCGCACGGGTACGCCCGTGGAACAAGCCGGGCACCCTGGATTACCGACACCCGGAGCAGATTACTACAATCCGAATGCCGGGACTGGGTATCCGAACGCTTGCTACTCCCCACCACAAGTCGGTCATCATTATCCTCAGCATCCGTACGCGACACCGGCGTCGGGCACACACATGCAGCCACAGTCCATGATAGACTACACACAATTACATCCACAAAGATTGGGCAGCACGGCGAGTCATATGCACCAACATTCGAATCCGAGTCCTGGTGCGTTATCGCCCAATTTAATGTCGACGCCCCCTAGCCAGGCGGCGGGAGCTAGTTGTAAATTCGCCGACACCACGTCTACGACGGGAGTAGCTTCGCCGCAAGACCTTTCTACTTCTTCTGGCCCGGGAAGAACATCGCCCGGCTTCGGAAGTGTTGGTGGACAAAATTCTAGCGGAACCACAAGCACAAAATTAGGGTTGACGACTCCCATCGCTTCACCTGTAGAGCACAAAGCGAATGTTAACCAGAACATCTCTAGCCCTGCATCAAGCACGTCAAGCAACGAAAGCAATGAGGCTAACAACTCTAGTTCAAACAATACGAAGAGCACAAAATCGACCTCTAACCCGCAGGCAAATCCGCCGCAGATATATCCTTGGATGAAGAGAGTGCATCTTGGACAAAGTAAGTAAACTTTTTCTTATTAATTTTGATTAAGTTTAAAATTGTATAACGGTATTGTATTCCGGTCTCGATCGAAGGTTTCTCAGCAAAGAGCTCGTTTCACACTTTTTTACTGCGGCGTGAAATCACAAATGACTCGGCTTCCTCGCGAGTTAACAAGACTTAGCGCGACCACGCCTCCGGTAAAACCAACAGTTTGATGTAATAGAAATAAACTATTCATCAATTGGCGGCCGAGGTGGAGACAAAACAAATTATATATCTATTTATAAAGCATTAGCATGCATTAATGTTGGATCGATACGGCTGGCTGATGGATGGTGTTCATAATAAGGCATAATGGCTTTGTTGGCGGGCGCTACAACTGAACATCCCGAAGCCTTTTTTCTCTTCGACTCCTAATGATGGGGAAAGTGCGTCGTCACAGTGACGTGTGATTTGACGGCTTCTAACCTTCTGGTGTTAACCGTGAATTGGGTTATTCAAGGGTTAATCTGTTTTAAATTGAAATTTGAATTATTTGGACTTCAATCTGTTTGTTTTTGGTTTTTTCCTGGACATATTTCAAATTGTTTGACGTTTTTAAATTGAATTTCTAGTGGCTTTAATCTTTAGCAAATCTTTTATGTTGCCAACTTTAATTAAATTGTACACTAATATATTTTCAAAGCACTGTGTAAAATAAATACAAACATTTGCCAGTTACTCAGAGCAGCAGGCACACATTGTATATACATAAATTATTTGACAATATTTATTTGTGACCACACCGCTTATAATCCTTTTAGTCTCTCTTCACAACTTAAATAAAGCCCGCAAAGGAAAGGCGATTTAATAATACTCTGTCAAAGTCAAAGCAGACTGTGTAATCTAAAATAATTTCAAAACATTCAACTTTATACATACATATATAGCAATGTATAGTTTCATCGTCACACAAATGTCACTCTGTAGATGACTTGAGATAAAAAGTCACAGATGTCGTTCCAAGAAATTCGGCCTTTTGTCTTCTTACTAATCCGTTGTGACCTTGTGAGTGGTTTTTTTATTAGTTTCACTCTTGCATCAAAGTATTCTTAGGTGCTTGCAAATTTTAGTTTCAACTAGGGTTGAATATGATATAATAGAAATATATAAAGCGTAATATAATTTTATACGAGCACATAAAGTTTCGTGCGCGAAAAGCCTTAAGGCTTTGCTGGTGTGCAGTATTCTGTTTTCGAGGCGACAATACTTTTGGATTAGATACTTCATTGATTAGCATTACGTACCTTATCTTATGAGACATAACCTAAATTAGGATTTAGCAACATGCTATTAACGAAGAAATTGCGATGTTGCTATTTTTTACCTATACATTTATTTCAAATGATGATAGTAGAGTGATTTAAGAAGCATAAAATCTCACGTACGCTGTATTTCATATTTATCTAACAATATTTAAAGGAGTAATAAATGACGGTGTAACTATTTTTTCGGATCTAAATTGAGTATATTTGTTTTTTTTTCAAACAAAGCAGCGTGCGTTTTACAGGTCCCGTTGTCACGGCTGATTCACCAACATGGAACCTGTAAAGGCTCAGAAACGTTCGGTTGTTTAAAAAAAAACAAACATACGCCCTTTTAGTAATCAGCGCCTAAGACCCATAAGGCCTAAGAACTATATATATGCAACTACTTTACGCTTTAAAGCGATCAGTAAATTCGTATATAATTAAACAATTTGCTACTAATACGCCAAGAAAGTAGCAACGAGTCTCTACTTACAATCTTAGTACCAGTTTGTTTATCTATAAAACAGTAACTACATTTTATGTACTCACTACTACATAAAGCCTGAACGCCAGACCAGCCTAACCAGTTACACTACATACATTTGCACGAAATGGACTGCCGCTGTTAAATATGCATTATCAGTTCTTAACACGACTCGTCTGCGCATTTAGATATGGCAGCTGCGTGGTATAGAAATGTTTTTCAGAAATTATGTTCTATTATAATCCATGTAGTGTGATCATTTAATTATAAGGTGTAAATAATCGTATTATGAGTAGATATGAGAACCAGGTTATACTTACTTAGAAGCCTAGTTTTTTTTAAATCGGTACCTCCAATGAACACTACGCCGACTTAATTTTTGGACCTGTTCTGTTTTTATTTTTCTTTTTGTTTTTTTCTCGCAAAATTCGTTTTTTGTTTTTGTTTGGAATTTTATTTTTTGGTTTCCTTTTTTTCACCAAATATGGAGGGCATAACATTAGTAAATAAATATAGCTATTTACAAAAATACCAGAAAATGACCAAAAAATAAAGGTGGCGTAATATTCATTAGAAGTATTGGAATATATACCCCAACACATAACTCGAGGCATCTTACTTTTTAAGTATTATTTAATACTTCAATTTAAAAAAAATGTTTGATTGGCTAAAAACTATTGTAGCAATTTGGAAGCTAGTATACTAAACGTCATTTCATGTCCTTGTTGAAAATTTAAATTTGTAAAACCTGAAAAAAACTTAACCATATTTTTGTATTCTGGCCTTTAAAAAAAATTGCATGATAAAAATGTAAATTGGCTTGAATTACGGCCCTGGGAGTGCAGTGACTTATTTGCGTTAATAAAAATTATCTCAAGATATTCTCATGTGATTGTGTTTAATTATAGCGACAGTACCTAATCGAAATAAACTGCAAGTTTGTCCAAGCCTTATTCAAATGTAAAATTTATAAGACTTACCACACACGTGCGATTGAAGGCTAATATGTGAATAGGTATACCGATATTAACATCTATAAAAGGTGTAGGAGTTATTTATTACTTTATCGAGTTACTGATATGGTTTTTTTCAACAGGCTTTAATTTATTGTGGTAATTTCTTATGAACCCGCTGTTTATGAATTAGGTTTTACTAATTTTTATATTAATTTTATGCTAAGATAACGGATCTGAAAGTAGAAACGGCAGGTAGTGCTGTAAGTAACGTTAGTATTGTTATTTTACTGCTAAATGTAGTTTTTCTCCCAAAATAAACAGTTTAATATCAAAATTAAAAATAAAATTAAGCATTCTTTAATCAATTTAATTATTACAATTGAAATATTGTTTTACGTGAACACGATACCTATTTATATAGAATTTATTTCATGTATTTGTTCGTCTTACTTACGATTGTTATAATTAAAATTAGCACAAGAATTTATTCCACTGATTTCCCTACAAAACTATCAGTTGTATAGCTGCACCACACTTAAATATGCATATAAAGTGGAAAACAGGCTAGAGGTCGAGGCCCTTCATGTTTGGAAGCCATAACTCACCGCCGCATGCGTGTCTGACTTATAAGATTTCAATACTCTATTATTTAGCTCTAGTTAGACTCGAGTATGGCAAATGAAGTCGTCATAGCACAGGGTATTTTTCGATGCGTTGTTATAGTTCGATAAAAATATTTTTTTTCTACAGGCGTAACTGTCATTTGTTTCATTTTTTATGGTAAAAGTATCTTACGATAGCTTTTGAGCTTTTGCACTATTTGCATATGACTCATAAGTTTATCTTTTGGACGAATAAATTTGCCATGAATTAGATGTTACATATATTATTACATTACGTGTTCACTGTTTTATACTACATCAACTTGTATACAAGTTTGTGTCAATGCCAAGAAGAGGTGTTCCTCAATGATAGGTACTAGGTCCCCACCGTGCTTGCTCATTATGAATAATGTTTATAAACCATTATACGATGTACTCGTTTCCTCACATCAGTTAATCTTATTACATTTATTATTAAAATAATGTAATCTAATAATAGGGGAGTTATAGAATTTTAAACAGAGATTAACTATTAAACTTCCTTGCGGCATTGACAATGTCCAGAAAGAAAAAATAAGTTTTAATAGCAGTAGAGGTCCTTATGAAAGAGTTCCTTCAAGGAAATTCTACCACATTACCTATTTTTACCGCCAAGCAGTAATGTGAACATTACAGCGTTCCGATATTGATGGGTAAGAGTGCTGGTGTATTTACGGGCACATGGGACTTATGTCTCCGGGTACCGGGCACAGTGGCAGTGTCACTTAGGTCTATGTGAAAACTCTGAGCGGCACTGTAACTGTTACAGACAGGCGTGTCGCTTACTACCAGGCGCACGACTTATTCGTTCCGTCACATTATAAAAAAAAGAAAACCTCTCAATGTACTTTTACATAAAAAGCGTCATCGGGTAGGATCAATATGAAAATTACGTCTTCTATTTCTCATAGTTACTCTCTTTAGTTCTGTTTTAACTCGAATTAGTAAATGAAGTCATAATAAACACTTTAGTATTTAAGTACATCAAAGTGGCGTTTAGTTAGTTTTGCAGTACAAAAACATCTTTCTATTTATGCAAAGTGTTATGATAGTGAAAGGGGAAATTTCACTTTGATCTCAACTTGTTCATAAAATGTTGAAATTAAGTATATTTTATACTTAAAGTAGCAGAATAAGGAGGAGCTTTGTTCCTAAAAGATATTCGTAATTGCAGGAAGACTAAAACGAATAGAGAAAATTGTAATAATTTTATGACCTTCAATTGAATTTTACGACCTCCCTGATCGAGTGGCTTTCACATCGGTTTTCATGGTGTCGCCATCGCTGAGATCCCAGGTTCGATGCCCGGGCTGGTCAATATAGAAAAACTGTCTCAGGTCTGGATGAATGTCGTACCTCCTTTAGTTACTTACTTTGGGATTAAAGCAACGTCAATTCAGATATATATGCACTTAAAACTTAATTATATATATTAAGTTCTATTTTGATTTTTTATTAGCATTTTTAGTCCCACTATTGGACAAAGGCCTCTCCTCTCTTTTCTCATTGCTCCTGATCTTGGGCAACATCTGCCCAGTTCTTTAAAAAGGAGTCCAAGTCATCCCGCTATCGCCGACGTGGTCAGTCGCGTCTCCTTTTTAAATTGTGGGGCTCCTACTCTGTGTTATTCAAGACCACAACTCGC